AAATTACATTGTGCGCCGCTAGGTGAGTCAATATAGTGGTGGCATTGCAAACATCGTACGCCAGAAACACGTATAATATTGTTGGCGTAGGCTCCAGCTCCACCACTATTTTTTAACACTAGCGCCATATTGGTGACGTGGGGCTCCTACGCCAGCAAGGTTGTTTTTGGCATGCCATAGTTAGGCTTTTCTGCACTAGTGATATGATCTCCTTTCTCATGATGCTCACAACTTGCAGCTATGTCTGCACTAATCAATTCAAACTAGTATGTAGTAGCCAAGAGGTAGATCGCCGAACTGCAAAGCTAGCTCGACGCCAGCAAGCAGTGGACCTTGACCGCCAAGGAAGAAGCTCAGAAGATTGCCGTCCAACTTGTTCAAGAACAAGAGACGTTCAAGGTTTATCGGGAAGCGTCTGGACTGATCCAGTAGAAGATCGAGAAGAACTAGTCTGTGTGTGACCAGGTGAAGGCTGAGAAGACCGGGTTGGTTGAAGAGCTGAAGAAAGTGCGAGCCAGTCCCAGTGAAGCCAACGTGTACATAACTACCGATGCAGCGCAGAAGAAGTTTGGCAGGCAGTAGAAATCGTAGCCGCTAAGCCCTATCTTCTCCAATGCTTGTCCGACCCTCGAGATGCTATGCTAACCCAACTTTGGCAAGATGCAGCAATGTTTGCCGATCTCCCCTAAAGATCTGCCCATGCGAACCAGACCTACCAAGGAGTTTACGATCCTGAGCGGGGAGAACTTTGGGCATTCTGGTCTCAGTTCCACAACAACAACAACTAGCTAGTAATCCCATCTACAAGCTGATGATGGAGCTTGCAAGACCGGCCAGGAGGCCGTATTCTTCACGTTGTGGCCCAACGAAGCTCTCCGGTACAACTTCTTCGCCCTTACCTTCAACTGCTCGGGAAGGAGCTCGCCTCAACTGCTCAAGGAGGAACTCGACAAGCTTGGGTAACGCTGAAGACCTACTTCCCCGGCCTTAACCTCGCCCCCATCATTGCAGCAAACCCAAAAGGTCCTGATGGGCGAGAAGTATAGATGTTGTCCTTCGACGCCATCTTGGAGTTTGCCAGGACCACCGAGGTACGTTATGCTCGGAACCCTGAGGTAATAATGTAAAAACATTATGCTTGAATTAAATCCAGTCTTCTGCCAAGTTAATTAATCTTAAATTAATTTGCGGTTCTGTTGTTTCTTTAAAATTTTCTACTCCTGAGCTTCCGTATTGCGCCAGCTAGCTTTTGGCTTTGACCTCCTTGGCTGCAAGGGAGCACTCCCGCTGCCAACGTAGGTGAACTAGTGGATTATGGACAAACGATGAAGCAAGGCAACCCAGCTTGGCCCAAACATAACTTGAAAATCTCATGACAGAAAAAATTGGGAAACAACATAAGGAAAGAAAAACACTTGGGTCGACTAACGGCACAATCTACCCCTGATAATAAATGGGCTATTGCTTCTGGTGATACGTTATTAAAATTATTTCCAAACTTGCAAAATATTACCCACCGATGCCACTTATAAGTGACAAAAAAACGTTTTGCAGGGAATCCCAGCCTAGGCCGGCCCAAACAATGAGACCTACTGTACTACTACGCTCTGCTCGTTAGAGAAAACACAGTGCGCCCGTTTGGGCCAGCCCATGCGCGCGCAACTTTTTTAGTTTCGTTTTTTTATTTCTGTTCCACTTTTGTTTTCTTCTTCCTTAAATAATTTGGAACTTCAAAAAACATTTGAAATTTATGACAAGGAAGAATTTTCAAATAAATGTTGAAGAAAACATAAAATGTTTGTGAATTCAAAAAATTCTGATTTTTCTAAAAATGTTCGCAATTTTGAAAAAATGTTTGAAAAATAAAAAATAGTCTGCCATTTTGAAAAAAAAATCCATGTATTAAAAATTATAAATGAAATTGAAAATTTTTTTTGCTAATTCAAAAAATGTTCATGCATTTAGAAAATGCCCTAATTTTTTTAAAAAATAGTTAGTGAATTAGAAATGAGTTTATTGATTCATAAAACGTTTGCTCATTCAGAAAATGTGCATGAATTTCAAAAAATGTTCATGAATTTTAAATAAATCAACTAATTTCGAATAAAAATTTCATCTATTCTAGAATTGTTCGTCGGTTCAAACGAAAATGCTTAAAAACCTTTTGCAACATAAAAAATGTTCACAATTTTTAGACAAAAATATTTGGAAATACTAAAAAATGTTCATGATATTTAAAAATGTTCTCAAATTTGTAAAAGTGTTCAGAAATGATCGAAGATATGTAGTTAACAGTAATGTTTCTGAGTCTTTGTGACTATATACCTTGTTTTTTGACAACCACAATTTTTCTCGAAAATTTGAACATTGCTTCAATTTGTGAATAAATTTTAAAAAAGAAACATTTTCTTGCCAAAAACATGCGATGAGATGTGAACAAAATATGGTCATCGTCATTGAAGATTATGGTTATTTTTCCCGTTGCAATGAACAGGCCCTTTTGCTAGTCTGAATAATGACTATAATAGCCTTTGTCCGGCTTGGGGGAACAAAAATCAAACTACCAGGCAAAACCGAATTCCCCGATAAGTTTGCACATTTTCTATTATAATTTTGTGGATCCACATGCGCAAGTACTGGACATGCTTCTTTAAGAAGAAGAATGAGATAGTCTACTGTGTTGACGCCGAGTAGATCGCTGCACCCAAATCCGGTGTAACTGACGAGATGCTCTCCAGGGACTTCGGATACTTCAAGCCAATGCCGGACCTTATGGAAACGTGGCGTATAGTTCGCAGTATATGTGGGAGGACACTCTGGATCTACAAAATATTAATAGAAAATGTATTCATTTGATAGCTGCAGAATAAAAAGGCAAAAGTATTTGCCATTTTCTCTTCTGTACAGCTCAGGTCCAAAAGAATTTTCCTGGATTTTGTAAATTCATAGTGTGTTTTTACACTTAGATGTGAGATTTCTCCCCTGAAGCTTTCGAAAAGTAATAAATGCTTTTTACATATAAATTTTTCAAATTGCTCTTGAAATACTTACTAAATTCTTGTTCATAAAATAGTATTCAGAGACATTATATATACCCAAACGTGCAACATTTCTTGGGGATCTTTCCATGCATGTGTCACGCCTGTTTGTTCAGAGAAAATATGATTCAAACCCAAGACAAACCATTTCTGGAGTGTTTCTCGAATAATGGTTCTGCTAAATTAGTACAAGAATTTCAGGTCCAAGACCTACACTGCTCAGTGGGTAAGTGAAAAATTATGCGGAAGGAAGAAGATAAAAGAAAATGCTGAACTTGACTCCTCGTAACAGAAAATAAATTAGGCATCGAATATAATGAAATAACCAGCTTCCGCATTTCTACAAGTACAGCTAAAAGAAAAGAAGCACACCAATTGTTCTATAGTAACAAAATGTACCAAGAAACAGAGGAGAAAACCACGGCAAAGCTCACCAAAATCCGACTCTCTCAAAAAAAGGTATGAGAGGAATGAACCGATCTGTAATTTTAGGGCACACTATTGTTGGATAAAATGGGTAATAATAATGACCCCGTTTCATTAACAAAATAGTACTCCTACAACATATCGGTTTGTTACTGCCTGCTTTCTGTTCATACTACCAAAGCCAAAAAGAATAGATAATTTATCAGCTCTGTTCTGTCCAAAGGAACAGAGAAGTTCAAAATGCATCAGCCATGTATCCTTACTATAGTCATACCGCCGTGATATACAGAGTAATGAATAAAAACGGAACATGCCGACAGTCAATGAAAATTACGGGCAGAACCATATTACCTCTGAACATTGATCTGCGTCAGTTTGTGCAACAAGACAGAGTATCTTTAATTCAACTGCTAAAAACATGCTGAGGCCATCGATATTGTGATTCCCAGCCTTAACACCAGCATGATCTAGTTAAGAAAAGTTGCAGGGTTAAACTCAACATGGTGCTGCATCGATCAAAACCAAAGAAAATTGGAGCCCAACACTAAACTAAACCTGTACACCTCATAATCAATGCCAGCACATACAAAAACATAACGTACAGGCTGCTACTACAACTGGATCCATAGAACTTGTACGTGGAAAGAAGACTGGAAGCTGCAAACATAACACAAGCAGATATTATTCAGACTTGTGCATGCTGCCTCTTCACAAATCACCCTAACCAGACCATCAAGAGCCATCACAACAGTCAACAAAACACCTCTCTAGTACCATGTTATGATTATCTAACCTCAATTTGGCTTAGAGGGCATAGATCTCAAGCCGGTCAAGCTCCGGATCCTGCTCAGCTTCTTCAAATTCCTTCTTAGACTAGACACAAGGGGCACGCAGGCACTGACAAGGGGTACACTGGCCGAGAAATGATTGCATCTTCAATGGGGCCACCTGAAACCGCCAGGGGTTGGTCGACTCAATTCCATGTGAGGCCAGGCTAAGGATCCTGGCAGGAGTGAACGGCTCGGACGACTGACACTCTCCCATGTGATGTACCAACTGTTCAACTGTGGCTGGTTTTTCCAGAAACTGATACTTTATAGGGAGCAATTTGATGTGGTCTCTATATTCCCCTTCCCTTGAAAACAGAGAGATCAGCAGTGAAACAGTTTTAGCTTCAAGTGAGTAGCTCTTTACATCAACTTTAGACATATAATTTCCAGCCTTGACTATCTCTCCTCTTTCCAGTAACCTTCTGATAATATGATTTAACATCCAAGAGTTTGCAGTAGAGCCGCTCTTCTCCATTGATAAAAAAAGATTGTCGGCTTCTTCCACTGAACCTTCTTTTATAAGATTTGTCATCATTATGGTGTAGGTAACAGCATTAGGAACCAAGCCATTGGCTGGTATAGCAGCAAACAAATCCTTAGCCTCTTGGTTTCTCTTGACCCTGTAGAATGCACCAATAATGATATTGACAATTTTAATATCAAATTTCACATTCATTGCACTTAATTTTCGGAACAGGGTGATCGCTTAGCTACTGCAGCTATTTCTACAAAGTCCACCAAGAACTATAGAGTATGTATCAATGCACACACTTACTCCAGATTCAACCATCTCATCAAACTTCTCTTTTGCAGCAACAGTTTGTCCAGCCAGAAATAATCCATCCAGTATGACGTTATAATTAACAGTTGTAGGTTTAAGTCCCTTGTGCAGCATCTCTTTGAACAGAATAAGCCCGTCATCAATCCTTCTATTTTTGCAATAGCCATTAATAAGTATACCATACGTAAAGTTACAAGGTTCTAAACCATATGACACCATATCATCAAATACTTTCGATGCATCTGCCATCTTGCGGACTAGGCAGTATCCACCAATCAGTATATTAAATGTGCAAACATTAGGCCTCATACCTATGTGTGCTATCAAGCCAAGGATATCCCGTGCTTCTATTACCCTTCCTTCTGTGCATAGGTTCTGCATGATTGAATGGAAGAACTTAATATCAGGAGGAGGTATACCTTTGTTCATCATTTCAGTAAGCAATTCCTTTGCTTTCACCAAATCGCCGTGTGTACAAAATCCCTGGATTAGGGAACGATAAACAGCTGTGCCCTGTCGTACTCCTGTATCAATCATCTGATTAAACTTTATCATAGCATCGTCCAACTGACCCTTTTTGCAAAATGCATCTATTACGGTTGAATATGTGACTGCATTTGGACTCACTCCTTGTTTCTGCATTTCATTGAAGATAAGCATAGCCTTATCAAGCTCCCCAGATTTAGCATATGCATAAATCAGTATGCTGAAGATACGACAGTCAGGAAGAATGCAGTCTCTTTCCATTGAATTGAAGAGATTAATCATATCAACTAAGCATCCTTCGGTGGCATACCCATGAAGGCGAATAGCATATGAAACGTTGTCAGGTTTCAGGCCCTTCATAGCCATGGAATCAAAAATTCCTGCAGCTTCTTTGCTTCTTCCATGGTTGCAAAGAAAGGTCATAAACATGTTGTAAGTATGCAAATCTGGTGTAACCCTCCGACTTGTCATCTCTTTGAATACCCTAACAGCCTCCTTCCAGTGGCCTGAAGAGGAATATCCATGGATGAGGCTATTATATGTCACATTATCAGATACGACACCATCATCAACCATCTGACCAAGGAAATACTCTGCCTTGTCCATTGCTTTGGCCTTGCACAACGCATCAATAACCGAGTTATATGTCACAACATCAGGTGTAACGCCCTGCTGCCTCATTTCATGGAATAGATTGCACGCCTTGCCTACTTGGCCTTCCCTAAAGAAGCCATGGATGACCGTGTTATATGCCACCACGTTGGGGGTGCAGCCTAGCTCAGGCATCCTGTGAAGCAGAATGTCCAGAGCCTCATCAGCCCGCTTTGCGCGGCAGAGTCCCTTGAGAAGAGTGCTGACTTCTATGACGCCTGCCTTGAGTCCCGTCCTGAGGAGACGGGCGAAGAAGGCGAGCGCCAGATCCTGGCGGTTTGCGCGGCAGCAGCAGTCCATGAGGATGCCGTAGGTGCAGGCCGTTGGGTGCGCCACACGTCGGCGGGCGCCTTGGGATATGCGGCTGAAGAGGTTGACTGCGAGTGCAGGGCCATCGCTGCACGCCGCGGACGCCGGAGCGCGGGCGAGGGCGGCAAGAAGGTTGTTGAGGGGGCGCTCCTGGACAGGATTGGCCTGCCGCAGCAATTCGTCGAACAGGTGGTGTGCGTCCTCCGGGGTGAGGTTGCCTGAACGCGCACGCTCCGTGGCGGTGGCGAAGGCGGTGTGGGGATCCCAGATGCGTGAGGGATGAGAGGTGGAGGAGGAGTGGCGGGCGCGGAGGCGGAGTGGCGACATGGGCGTGGTGGAGGAGAGGCGAGGCATGGCCTTGGTGTGAAGTGGGAGCAAGACGAGTGGGAGACGACATGGGCGAGTAGCATTTTTTTTACAGTGAGTAGGTCGTGAACTATGGCAAGACGAGTGGGAGATTACTGTTGCACTTTTAGTTATTTTCTTTCTTTACAGGTAACAAATCATGTTTTTTTCTAGGAGAATTAAATTATGTTCGTATATTATCACATACTGAATAGTACGAGTAATTGGTAAGAGTATATTTTCTTTCTTAACAGGTAAAATCAAATTATGTTCTTTTTCTAGGGGAATTAAATTATGTCTGTATATTTTTTTTCCGAGAGTACGCAAATTGCGTACCATAGCTTTATAGAAGAAGAGAATATCAAATATACGGAAAACCTAGGAACCTCCTGACAGGCGATTAGGGTTTCGAGGGAAAAAGCGGTGCACGTCCGATCTCGATCGACGGGGCGCGTCGCGGACAGCGCTGAGATGGCCTCGTCCGGCGCTGGCAAGGAGAAGGCAGGCGCCCTCTCACCAAGGACGGCAAGGGCGCGGCTGGAGGAGGCGATGGGCAAGCTGGATCTGACGGAAGAGGAGGCCACGCCGCTGGTGATCGATGACGTTGATGATGATGAGCCGACGAAGTGGTCGCTGGCGGGGAAAGTTCTACATCGCCATACGTTCCATATCCAAACGATCTGCAATGCTCTTCGTCCTGCATGGGGGAACCCTGAAGGCTTGATCTTCAGGCCGGCGGGGGAAAATATTTTTGTGGCGGAATTCGCTGCTAAGCGTGATCGCGATCGTGTGGGGGATGGCAGTCCATGGCATATCAGTAAACACGCGGTCATCCTATCGGAGTTCTCCGACTGCATGAAGCCATCTGAACTTCAATTCGATAAACTGCAGATGTGGGCTAGGGTTCCCAACTTGCCCTTCAATCTCAGGAACGAGAAGCGAGGGTTGGCAGTGGCAAAACAAATTGATAAGAATGCTCAATCACTGCAATTTGACCCAATGGGGGGTTTCCTGAGGACGCGAGTCACAATTGATGTCAGTAAGCCTCTGCAGAGGTGGATCCTCATAGACTCGGCGGCTAGAGGCAGCCGTGATTGGTATGACATACAATATGAAAACATCCCGAATTTTTGTTTTTCGTGTGGCCGTCTAGGCCACTCGGATCTCCTTTGTCCGACGCCGGGGACAAGAGATGAAAACGGTGATCTTCCCTTCAAGACGAGTCTCCGTGCACCGGAAGACAAAAAGAAAACTCCTTCAAACGAGAATTCAGGGGCGAGTCAGACTAATACAAAACCAGGAGGAGGAAAAGAAGTACCTGAATCTGGCTCCACGCGAGATGGCAATCCAGAGGTCACCTCGCCTAAGAAGAGGAATACTAATGGCAGGAACAAGAGGAAAGGTGGACCTCCGAATCAGGTGTACAGGAAAGTTGTTATGCCCTTGCTGACAGCAGTAGAGCATGTGGACACTCAAAACAACGCCTTAATCCAGCATGACCCTGCACAAGCAAGTGGAGAGGATAATATTGGGGACGCAGAAGAGGTACGTGCGCCAAAAAAGAAGAGAGACACACCAACAACTTCAGAGAACTCGGCGGGAGCTGCTAGTCAGCCCTGCCCGTCGCAATGAGTTGTTTGAGCTGGAACTGCCGGGGGCTTGGGAACCCCGAGGCAGTTCGAGAGCTTCGCAAAGTGGTGAAGCAAGAAGGGCACGAGTTGGTTTTTGTTATGGAGACAAAAATCAGAGGTAGACGAGTGGAGGATTTGCGGCATACCCTAGGGTTTGCAGGCAGTTTTGCAGTAGACAGTGACGGCCTAAGCGGGGGTGTAGGGCTGTTTTGGTCGAAAGAAGTGGATGTGGAACTCAAGTCGTACAGTAAATGCCACATTGATGTTTTGGTCCGGGATGGTTCACCGGGCTCAAATGCATGGAGGCTGACGGGTTTTTACGGAGCGTCGAGAGCAGCAGATCGTCATCACAGCTGGCGGTTCCTAAGAACACTTCATGCCATCCCTCATGCTGCATGGATGTGTATTGGTGACTTTAACGAAACTCTATATCAAGACGAGCATTTTAGCCGATCAGCTCGCCCTGAGAGGCAAATGAGAGAGTTTCGGGAAGCTACTAGCGAATGTGCTCTCCAGGATCTTGGGTGGACAGGTGTTGCATACTCATGGGACAACCGCCAACCTGGGGATGCAAACGTGAAAGCAAGGATTGATAAGGCTTTTGCCAATGAAGAGTTTAGGCAGAAGTATGAACATATACGGGTTCGGCATGTGTGTGCGGTGGAGTCTGATCATTGCTTTGTCCTTGTGGAGTTCAGAAATCACGCATTTACACAGAGGCCGATCGGAGCAAAGCAGTTCCGTTATGAGAACGTGTGGCAGTCACACCAGGATTACGAGTCCTTAATTGTACAAACCTGGCGAGAACAAAACCGCGATCCTGGGCTGCAGGGCATCATGGATTCGTGGGGAGCGTTACAGCGTCAGCTTGAACCCTGGGGAGCCCGAGAGTTTGGCAGTTTAACAAGATCAGTCCGTAATCTTCAGAGACGGCTTGATAAGTTGCGCCAACGGTCAGTGGGGCGAGGTCCATCAGACGAGGAGAGAAACGTAATGATGAAACTTAGAGAAGCCATGCGTCTCGAAGAAGTATGGTTGAGGCAGCGATCCCGTGTTCCGTGGTTACGTGATGGCGATCGGAACACGGCTTATTTTCAAGCACAAGCAAGACAGAGAAAGCGCACTAACCAGATAGTTGGCCTGAGAAGAGAGGATGGCTCGACTTGTGCAAATGAAGAGGAAGACAAGGCAGAGATTCAAGCCTTTTATCAGGCACTTTATGCAACGCAAGGTGTTGGAGACACCGACGCGTTGTTATCACATGTGCCCAGCCGGGTCACACCGGAGATGAACGAGCTGTTGTGTAAACCGTATGAGTCTACCGAAGTGCATCGAGCATTGTTTCAAATGGTGCCTTCCAAGGCGCTGGGAGTGGACGGTTTCACGGCTGGCTTTTTCCAGCGCCATTGGAAGTTGCTCAAGGATGAGGTAACCCAAGCGGTGTTGGCTTTTCTCAATGGAGGTGAACTTCCAGTGGGGCTCAACGACACATCAATCACATTGATACCCAAGGTACGTCACCCCCAGAGTATCTCACAATATCGTCCAATATCACTTTGTCCCGTGCTTTACAAGCTGGCAGTGAAGGTTATTGCCAATCATCTCCGTATGTGTTTGGATGATATCATAAGTGAGGAACCGAGTGCTTTCGTCCCAGGTCGGTTGATCACTGACAATGTGGTTGTCGCATTTGAAAGTGTTCACACTATGAGGCGGCGGAAGAAAGGGAAAAATTACACTTGTGCAGTTAAGCTTGACATGATGAAGGCTTACGACAGAGTAGAGTGGCACTTCTTGGAAGCAATGCTCTTGAAACTGGGATTCGATGCTAATTTAGTAAGATTGATCATGAAGTGTGTCACATCCGTGCGGTTCTCAGTTCGTGTGAATGGAGAGCTGCAGCCTTACTTCAACCCTTCTAGAGGCCTTCGGCAGGGGTGCCCGGTCTCCCCCTATTTGTTCCTGCTATGTGCTGAAGGTCTCACCTCGCTCTTAAAGTCCTACGGTACATCTATTGACAGAGGCATTAGAGTGAACTTTAGAGCACCTTGGGTGAGTCATTTACTGTTCGCGGATGATAGTCTCATTTTTATCAAGGCGAATGAGGAAAGTGCAACTAGGTTGAATGAGATCTTACAAATATACGGTGAGGCAACCGGCCAGAGTGTAAACAGGAGCAAGAGCTCCATCTTTTTCAGTCCTAATACACCTGCAGATGTTCGGCAGGTTCTGAAGCAACTCCTTGGGGTGCAAGTTGAAGCATTTTCAGAGTGCTATCTCGGTTTACCGACCGCTGTGGGAAAGATAAACAGTAGAACGTTTGAATATATAGGTGACCGGGCCCGAGGCGGCATGCAAGGTTGGGCGGAGCGACTGTTTGCTTGCGCAGGTAGAGAGACACTTTTGAAATCTATTGTGCAAGCAATTCCGATGTTCAGCATGAGTTGTTTCCTCTTAACAAAGAAGGTGTGCAAGGGATTAACATCGAATATGGCAAAGTTTTGGTGGGGGAGCTCCATTGATCGGAAATCCCTCCACTGGATAGCATGGGATAAATTGGCTACACCTAAATGCAAAGGAGGAATGGGCTTTCGTGATTTCCGTTTATTTAACCTCGCACTGTTGGGGAAGCATGGGTGGCGTTTCTTGATGAATCCAAACTCCCTGTGTGCTAGGGTAATGAAGGGCAGATATTTCCCGGACTCAGATTTCTTACATGCTTCGGCACCAAAGTCTTCGTATGCCATTTGGAGGGCGATCATTGCAGGGCGGGAAGCATTGCAAATGGGGCTGTTGAAGCGAGTTGGTAATGGTACCTCCATATCAGTATGGGAGGATAAGTGGATTCCATCCACTTTAACTATGGCTCCGTTGCTGCGGCCGGCGAACACGGCGATTCATATGGTCAGCGACTTGATTGATACACGCACTTGGACGTGGCGGCAGGAGCTAGTCAGAGAGACTTTCATCGCACCAGACGCAACAGCTATCTTAAACATTCCGCTACGACGCGGTGGTGGTGAAGACTTCATTGCATGGGCACATGAGAATTCAGGCATCTACTCTGTTAAATCGGCGTATCGAGCTCTCGTGAATCAAAAAGAGCGTTTGGCTCTAGATGAGGGGCAGATTACAGGTACTTCAGTTGATCAACAACAGTTGTGGAATGCAGTTTGGAAACTCAAAGTAGTCCCTAAAGTCAGAGTTTTCTGGTGGCGGGTACTGAGAGGCATCTTGCCATATGAGTGCACTCTTAAATTTCGCCACCTGAGAACAATCAGTACATGCAAGATTTGTCTTGCTATGGATGAGGATATGGAGCATGCAATGATGCATCGCCCGCAGGCCCGCAGATTTTGGGAGGAGGCAAGACTGCTT